TGCCTGTTTTCAAAAGAGAGAGACAGGCTCCTCTGGTGGTAATTCAGCTTTTCCTAGGCTCCTATTTTAGGATGGAATGATTTGCCTTCCAGTGGCTCCTTCAGGCCACAGAGATTGGCGTTTGTGTGCTTTGTCTGCTTTGCTATTTCTTCTTGTCCCAGCATTAAACAAGGAAGGAAATATTTGGAGTTCAAGGAAGGGGAAGAAGAGTCCTTGTCTGACCTCTGCAAATGCTGTGGGTGTGGGCAGTCTGAATCAGTTTTACTTTTTCCAAACGGTTTTTCTTTTACTACTTTCTAGTTACTTTCCATTTTGCTTCAGCCTTATTTGACCCACAGAAAATAGAGATGGAAAGGATGGATGGCGCTGAAAGTTTTATTGCCGGTATTATTTGAGAGGTCAGATTAGCTGATTGTAATAGTCTTATTTGACTTTAAAATTCCTAACTCCACTGAAGTCAACAGCAAAACTTCCACGGGCTTCGAGATGGCCAAAATTTCACCTTGAGTACTTTGAGTGTGTCTTTGTCATCTGGCCCTCTCCTTGACACGCAGGATTGCTCCATGGATTACATTTTCCAATGTTTTGTTCAGTTGTGGTATAAATACTTCAAGACACAAAGATTTCTCTTTGTCCCCTGGAAATAGTTGCACTGGGTAATAGTTTAAGGAAGTTTTTGCTTGAAGAGTTGAATAACTGAGCCAAAGTCTGTTCCTGGTTGAACTGGAGTAAATATGGAATAGCTTGTTGACAATGTGGAGTTACTCCTCTTTTATGTCAGTGTAACCGAGAGCACAATTTTGCCAATTATTAACTTTTGTTACACTATTTGTATTTCTGTGCATGTCAGGATTTGTTAATCTCATTGTTCAACATCAAGTAACCTTTTGCTGAAAACAGAGCGTCATTGTGAATTAGGTATCATCAGCTAAATTGAACCTCACCCTGTGCATTTGACAGATGGTAATACATTCATTAAGTGTTCTGTGGTTGCTTTGAGGTTGGAAAGTGCTATTTTTCTGGCTTCTAACTCAGGATTCTTAAGTAAAGTTGTATAAAAGCATAGTTTTGAAGGGAGAAGGAAAATCACAAAGAGCTCACGAGGGTTTTTTTTTTAGTAATATCGTTGTTTACTAATGGGGGGATGTCTTTGGCTGCATAAGTAGCCTGGAGCAGAGTAGTGAAGGGTAGAGACGGTTCCACCATGGATTTTGCATATACACACGTACAACATCTTGGAATTTGAAGTTATGTTAAATACATCACAGGGGAGGCAATATGATGCTGGTGCCTTTGTGCCTGGTGATTTCACTGTCCAGAAAGGTGGTTTCCATGAGGTCAGACATTGCGGCTGTTTGCAAGGGTAACCTGATGACACGGCTATGGTCACATTTGGGATCTCTAAGTTCATACTGAAAGTCTTCAGGGTGGGGAAGCAATTGGAGGTAGAAATTTCCATAGCAGCACAGAGCCACATTCTCAGGCATGGCTACACTTGGTGTTGTAATATTGAATCCTCCACCCTGCCATTACCAAGACAATGCAAGGCTGAGGTTCAGGACAAGTTCTTCACACAGCTAATTAAGGGGTCACCTACACCAAGTGTAGAAGAGAAGACTCCACTGACTACAGAGTAAACTTAAGGTGTTTAGTCAAACCTACTCATTTAATCTCATTTAATTTACTCACTTCAGGGAAAGATTAATCTCACCCGTTGACTTGCAATGGAGCCTCAGCTGTTAGCAACAAACCTGTTTAGTTATTTAATGATGTTTCTGAGAGGACAAGTTGCCAAGGCAATTAGCTGCTTAGCCACTTCTGAAATTCCTTGTGGGTAGTATGTTCACAAATGGGGAATTAGTCATTTTTTAGTTGGTCACATCTTTTTAAATGTCTTCATTCAGTCTAGTGCTGTGACTGGTATTCACAAGTCCTCTACCCTGGTGAGTTCCCACTGCCCACTATCTTCTCAGTGGAGACAATGCATATAGTCATCCAGATTTTCACAAAATAGCCATAGTATGGAAGATTTAGAATTAAATCTTCTACTGGGTTTGATCAGTAATATGAGCCCGGAAAGCTCTTCCCTTAGCAAGAGTCCCAAAACCTTCAGGGCTGTACGATATTCTGAGGAGGTTATTTCTTTGTTCATATTTTTTCACCTTTCACATAATGCTTAGATATCAACAGACTTTAAAAATCTGACCCTGTGCACCTAAACTCTGATTGAAATGGCAGTTTTAAGATCTTAATGCTCTTAGCTTTTCAAAATTCTGTCACTATTTAGTTGGAAGAAAGACAGTTCTCCCTTGTTCACTACTCTTCTATTTTCATGGCTGTTCTAAGGGATTTACTAGGATCAGAAGAGTTTTGATTAATTAAATGTGGTCATTGGAGTCACAAGTAGTGGTCCAGTTCTTGACTACCAGGATAAGAGATGGTCCTGACCTTGTGGTGATTTCACTGGGAGATCTCACGGTCCTGTGGGTTCAAGCAGAGCCTGTGAATTAGGCCACAGATGCATTGAACCAGAACATACTCTATTTCTGGACTAAAGCTGTCCTATGCAAGTGCCAAGTATGAATTCAGATAGATGTTTTTCCCACTGTCACAAGCAGGCTTCACTCCAGACATTGTTTTTGAGACAGCCATGATGCATTTTGATATATCAGTAAGAAAATAAAACCCCAAACCAACCCTAATAAGTTCCAGAGAAGTTACATAAATACATCCTACCTGATGCTCCTGTCTTTGTACACACACCTAGCTGACCCCATGGGCCACCACGAAGCATCTTCTGTGGTACTGGTAATGGAAATACTGCACAGATGACTCGGAGAACTGGGTGAAGAAGCTACTGGAAAATGCTCAGCGTTAAGACAGTTCTCTAAAATCTGCATGAGCCAAATTCAATTAAATCACAGTAATTTAATTCCACTGTCTCTAAGTTAATGAACTGTAAGTGGACATAGTCTGAGGCTGGCCAAGAGAAGAATTATCTATTCAACAGGTGTTACAGGTCAAACCAAAAAGAGATTGCTAAGTCTTTTGAGTGTTGCCACATGGGGGTATATTACACGTTATGCAGTCATTACCCTTCAGTAGAAGTTGTGGGGTGGAGCACAGCTGCAGATGATTAAAGACACCACTGCCAGCATCTGACAGCAGAATATCAGTGTCAAAATTCAATTTGAATTGATTAAATAGGGGATGGCAACACTTTTGTTTTATGGATGGCAGCACTTCAGTCGCTTTAGATGCTCTGCTTTCAGAAATAAAGTTCTTCCCCTCCCTGCTATGTTTGTTGGGGTGTTTTCAGTTGGATCGCAGTCATTTCTCCAGTCAATCAATTAAGCCAGGATTTGCCACTGTGTCTGAGGCAGCCACAAAAGAGCTGGTACGGTTCCCTGGTGCTTGGTCAAGAAGCTTCAGTGGGAGCAAGGCATCAGGCAGCTTAATCTGACTTCCACCACTGGCACAGGATTTAATGGATATTCGGGCAGCAGAGAAATGATGTTCTGTGGCATTCGGCCCCTGCTCTCTCAATGGCCCTGTACGCTCCACCTTTCTCTCCGTGCCAAAAACACAGGGGCAGCTGACAGCAGAGCCAGTGGAGCTACCTGTGCCAGCAAACTGCTCTACGCAGAGCGAGTGCTGCAGCCTTTTGAAGCCTGTGTTTTGCTCCATAAATATATTTATCTCTGTGGGCCTTATAGTGCTACACCACCTGAGTAACTTGATGCATTGAGTAGTCTCTCCTAAGTTAAATGGCAGTAAGTTACTCAGAGATATATGATTTTACAGGATTAGGCCTTAAATGCTGACTCCAGGCCAGATCTGCAGCAGGTATAAATCACTGCAGGTAATTTTCACCAGCTGAAATTCTGGCCCTAAGCCCGTGAGTCATGTTGTTATTTTTTCACATTGTAAATTCTTGCTGTTTCTTATTTATATTGCTTTAGCACTTTGGGGCACTTGTCAGGGGCCAGGACCCTGTCGTGTTTGTCACCCTTCGAACAGAGATGCAAAAGACCCTTTTTGCCCCGGAGAGTTTGCAGTTTAAATAACAGGCAAATCTGGATATAGTCCTTCAGCTTTCTCTAAGTGAAGTAGTGCAATCAAGTTTTTCTATTATCTTGCTGGTAATGCATAAGAATACAAATTCTGTGCCTGGGTTCATATTTTTAACTAAAAAATTTCCACTCTGCTGCATATTATATCTAAGGGGCATTTTAAGCCTGGAAGTTGTTGGCGCAGTGTAGGACATGGTCTTCGGTAACTGAAGTGAAAGCTTCAAAGTCTCTTCTCCTTTGTGAAATTTGATTTCAGACATATTAAAAAGAGAATTTGCACCTAAGTTGAACATGAAGTGAGGGTAATCTTAGCAGTGACTGAATATCTCATGTCTTTTGTGTAGAGTTGCACTTAATTATTGTTATATTACTTCCATTTCAGTTGTAGTGTGTCTTCCAGCTCCTGAGAGCTCTGGTTAACATCTCTGGAATTATTGGTATTGTGTTTAATTATTCTGGAAGGGGTTTAAAAGTAGTAAAACTACAACTTTTTAGAGCTAAAGTAATGCTAGAAAATTCTCCTTAATTACAGTCCTCCCCGGCTGCTTAGAAAAATAATGTAATGGTGTACAGAACTCAAATTTACTGTGTGCTGGCCCCAACAGACCAGAAGAATATCGTAGGGTGTATGTGTTTTGTTGGTATATCATACTGATAAACAGTTCTTTCCTTCCATGATCTCTTCACTGTTTTTTTTTTCCTTGTTTTTGGTGCTAGTCAGAAGAAGACATGGCACAACAGTTTCCTGTGTCCCCTTTTTCCATTGCTTTACCCTCAGGTGGACCTTGTTGGGTGATTGAAGCAAAAATTAACACAAGTGAATAGCTCTTGGCTTTTTTTCTAGATACTACCATGGCCATTGACAATGAGTGCTTCTAAATAATTGTTATTCTGCCCTAATCACTTATTCACTGTTTTTTGGCAAAGCCCTTGAAAAAGGCTTGGTGAAGGCTCTGAAGAAGCTGGATGACTATCTGAGAACCCCTCTGCCAGAGGAGATCGATGCAGACAGCACTGAAGAGGAGAAGGTATCTAAACGCAAGTTTCTGGATGGAGATGACCTGACTCTTGCTGACTGCAACCTTCTGCCCAAACTCCATGTTGTCAAGGTAAAAAATGCCATGCAATGGTCAAAGAAGCCTTATAAGACAGTGAAGTGCCCTGCTCTGACAGCTGAGTCCTAAAGCCAACATGTATTTCAGCACTGATATAAGTCCTTGAAGAGCAGATTGAAATGCACTTTTGCTCCTCAGTATTTCCCATAAGTTAGTTTAATTAACTTAGTATTTAGTACATAAGGAAATTGTCCCATCAGTAGTTAATGGCAAAGATAATATTAAGGTCTAGGTATACCATCTCTTTATTTTTACCCTGCTGCAAGTAACAACAGTCTTTCATATTAATTAGTTACCATTATTCTTAAGAGAGATGTCAAAACTTTAGTCAGTTCCCACCCATTTGTAACTTTTTTTTTGAGTTGCAGTTCATCTTTTTGGGGAATATTTGTTCCAGCTGGTATTTCACACAGGGAACTTAACAAATAAAAGTCACCACTGAGGTCCAGCATTTGAAATGTACAATGGTCACTGGTATCGTGCAAATGTTGTATATCATCTTGACTTCTAAATGTTGCATTTATTTAATTTATCGGATTACATGTTTCTTTAGAATAAAGCAAATACCTGGCAGACCATGGCACGCAAGAAAGCTAGGAATTAAAGCCAAGTCATGTATCTAATTTGGCTCCATGAGCCAAAACATAAACTGAGCTTGGGAGCTGACTGCACACATGCAAAAAAAGAAAAAAAAGTTTAAAAAAGTGCGTGAGTCACCAGGTGAGAAATGTGATAATACCCTCACAGGTTTAGCTCTTTCTTTGGCTCATCTTCGTTGGTGATGTTTGAGTCAGAGAATGCAAAATGAATGTGTGACCCTTACTGGTTCCTCTCTCCCTGGAATGAAATGAAATATGTCAAGAGAGAACTAAAATCTTTTTCAGACAAGCATAGCCATAGGATATTGTCTGAAAAGCATTTTACAGATAGAAGAGAAGAGTAAATTATTTTTTCATATGATGGAAGATGTATGCTGAAAATTGTGAAAATCTTGACTTAAGTTGCCCAGCAGGTTTTATCTTCCACATATTTGTGTGAAGCACCATTGAAGGCGAGAATGCTTAATTAAATTTAGTTTAGAACAGGATTTAGACTTGCATATACCAAGTGGAGCCTAGTAATAACAACAAATCACAGTCATTTCTGAAAACACGACTGTCCTAAGAAATCTGAGATGGAAACAACTCTACCATGTGCTTTAAAAATAAAGGGGAGCTCTGTGGCACATATGTATGTAATTTATGCCCAGGAACAATTTTATACTGTCAGAAAAATTAGAGATTGGGAGTGCTCATTAAATCAGCTAATCCATCCCTTCCTATCAGCTAGTTCATTCTGTCACCACAGGATTATTCTATATGGTATTTTCTTACAGGAAAACTGAAATATCCCAATCCAGCAAGCTACTTAACCAACCAACTAGCTTTAAGCACAGATTAGCCTCATTGACTTCAATGGGACTATACAGGTGCTTAAAATTAAGTATGCACTTAACTATTTTCCTGAATAAGGGCCTGAGTGTTTTTAGAAATCAAAAATTTCCCTTGATAGACATTTTCCTAGTCTAACAAGTCTTGAAATAACCATTTTCACCCCCAGTTTATCCTAATACTTCAGTTTATAATGTCTGCTAAATCATCTTGGTTTCTCAATCACGATACCCATACCATCTCAAATTTTTCCTTTGCATGAACATGGATACAGCCTTCCAACAGCTGTAGATGATTACATCCTCTGATATCATAGGCCAGGCAAAATATATTGTATTTATTAAAAATAGAATGCAATATATATAAAATATAACATAATGTTAAATATAAGTATTATAGTTAAAACGAAAATATACTATATATAATTGTTAATAATGTCTTTCCCTTAAATCTCTCTTGTTTTTTTATGATTCAGCTTATCTACTCTTTCTTATGTGGTGTCTCAGCTTTAAGTGATGTATATAAGACTGGTAAAAACTGCCAAAACCCCAAAAATTAATATTAATGAAATTCAGTTACCATAAAAGTAATTATTTGGTGACAGTAGCCAGGCCATTGATTTAGAATGTCCTCAGACCAAGAAGTATCCTTGCAAGACAGAGGACAACCAACAATGACTTTTCAAGCTTTTCTATTATAAGCCCCTGAGTCTCCAAGCATTTCTCTCCTTTCCTATTAATTATGTGACAAGAAAGAGTAAGAAGTTTCTCTCTGAAAGGAATCTGGAGATACATCACCTGCAAGATATCCCCTTTTTTATCTTTTCTTTAGATTGTTGCAAAGAAATACCGCAACTTTGAGTTCCCGACAGAGATGACAGGGCTGTGGCGGTACCTGAAGAATGCCTATGCCAGGGATGAATTCACCAACACCTGTGCAGCGGACAAAGAAATTGAGCAAGCCTACGCAGACGTGGCCAAGCGGCTCAGCAAGTCCTAACCGACCACAGCGGTGGCTCAGTATCCCCTTTTACAGACTCTTCTCCTTGTTGCCTTAAAATATACTTTATCGTTGTGCTATCTGGTTGGCATCCCTATGACTTCACCTGTTCAAGACTATAGGCCAGGGACAAATCTGCTTCTCCCTGGAGAAAACAGAAGGCTGCTTTAGTGTGGGGGATGGAGACCCTTTGAAATCTGAACATAACATCTGGCTCAACTAGTATTACTCACAATCAGTATTGGAAATGAGCCCACTTTATTAGTTTCTCATTTCATGTTGAGGGTATATCACCACCTGTATTCTTTGGAGTTTTAAAAAGAGGAAATTAGCTGAAATTTCAAGTAAGAGAGTTATGAGCACAAAGAACTGGTTCTTCTGTAAGTTATTGCAAGGATGCTTTTCCCCCCAATGCTATTGAGATCCTAGAGGCAGGAACAAAATATGAGAAAGGGGAAAAAAAGGAGTTTGACCCAAAGGAGAAATGCTCTTAGCAGTTATATTTAAAAAACTCTCTGAATGCATATTCTGTCTTAACAGGCCCAAGAGTTTATAGGGTATTTATTTTTAACTTGGTGCAAGTAGGGGAAGCCTGAGTGAGTATGTCAGACTTGCAGATGCTACTTTGCATAAAATTTGCATGGCGCTTTTGGATCCGAATGTTTAAAGCGAAAGAGAGTGAATGAGCAATTGAGCAGGCAGCCCTTGGAAGAGTGGGGCTAGTGCCAAAATATGCCCAGGAACAATTGGTAGAGACATGCAGACCTAGAAATAACAGGGGCAGCTCATCAACTCCAGTGAGTAGAGGGAATTGGCACAGCTAACCAAACCACGTAGGATATTGTCATCTTGACTGTACAGTTGCCAGTTTCTTGATATTTGCTATCTTGGGAAACTTGGATAGACAGGAGAAAGCTGTCGCTGCACACAAATTCCGAGTAGAGGAAATGATTTCTTTGCGTTGGTCTCCATACGGGTCATTTTCAAGCACTCATAATCTCATCCCAGGAGAAGTTTGTTCTGAGAGCTTCAAAAAGGACAGGCTAAACCAGAGAGGGGCGTATTTCCAGTCAGAAATTCAGTGAATATGCTAACAGAAATTCATGCTTGACGCCTTAGTCCCACTCCTCCAGGGTTTACTGATCCAGGTTACGTGATTCTGAATGAGGATTGTTTGCTAAAATGGATTATTTTGCTCTATCTGTAACATCTGCCTGACACAATCTTTATACTAGTGATTATTTGCAAATTACTTTAGCAAATTCAGAATGACAGCTCTTTTGCATGAAACTCACATGCCCTAACATATACAACCGTGCCCATGGCTCTCGATTTTCAGTGTGAGGGGTATTTATCACTATTTTTAAAGATAAAATAAAGCTGAGCTGTAACCCAACATGCCTCCCCTCCTGATCAGAGCTGCAGAGAGCTGCACTGATTTGAAGGGAGTCTCAAACTGGTGAGCTGTGACTGAGGGGAAGCTCAGCTCCTTTTCAGCCAGGGAGCTGGAGAACTGGAGACAGCATGGAAAGCCAGGCTCTGCTGTGTGATGCTGATGACAATCTGAAGCCACGCTGTTGCTTTTGGTGGGATTATTCCACTTTTCGCACTAACCCAGCTGGGATTAGAATGTCACTTGTTGATGGTGAAGATTGTGGTTGACTATTGTTTCGCATGCAATGGTCAATTTGTTCTGAATTTTCGAAAACCTTAGAAGAAAATCCATGAACTCCCAAGTCTTCCCCTAGAATGGGCTATTTTAACAATGGCTAGACTGGAGGGCAAGGGCTCGCACTCTTTCAAATATTGCTGAGAAATCAGCTGGCTCAGAGAACACTAACAGCAGCCAGAAAAGTCTAATGAGATTAGAAGTGTCTGCGCAAGCACATGTGGCTTGTTAAAAACATTTCTCCACGAGATTGCAGTTCTTTGTGATTATTATTTTTTTCTTTTGGTAAATTAAGGCATTTATTTATTTATTTATTTTAATTGACTCAGTCCTTTCCGTCTGTCTCTCCGGTTTTGTTTTCACTCAGCACGCTGGTCAAGATGGCTCTGTTTAGAAAAGTGTTATTAGCAATGCTCTGCAAATTCATTTCTTGTAAAAAGTCTTCTGTCTGATTGATGGTCACTGGGATTTTTCTTACTTTCAGGATGATTTGGCTAGGAGCTTGCCAATCAGCAGAATTTACATTTTTCTCAGTTGTCTTTTTCCAGGTCTGTCCTTCAATTAGTGGCTTTGCCTAATCGCTATTGCAGTGAATCTTTGAATGAAGATGCAGAGACAGATGCAGATTCTTGCTCTGTGCTTATTTTATGCATATATATACACATATGTGTGTAATATTTAGCTCCTTAAAGAGGACTGTACAAACACAGAGCAGACCTCAGGCAGGGTAAACGAACCATTTCAGGGTCTGTCATGATCTCTTCGGTCTCTGTGAATCTTCACCAATTTGTTGATCCCCATGGTTCTGAAATGTTCTAATATGTCTCACTTAAGTTTTGCTAGAAGAGGGCCAAAACACAGTTTATCTCAGTGACTTCCAATTGCGTCTGTTTTTAAAACATTATGTTTAAAAATGGTTGGGCTTATACCAAAAAGAAAATGAGCTGTTAGTGCAATGAGCTTGTTCAAAGATAATTTGCATGCTCTTATTAAAATCTTTTTAGGATTTCATTATAAATCTGAAAATCTCCAAGCTACCTTCTTTATAATTAATAATAAAAAAATCCCTAAGTATCTCCATTTTTCTAACAACACCCCCAAAAAATCTTGATAATATGTATTGATGGATATGAGAAAGAATAAGAGGAAAATTAAACAGTTTTCAGCTACCATGCCTGTTCTGTCTGAATTCAAGTCTCGCTCTGCATCCTAACTTTGCATTTTACTCATAGCTCTGTTGCAGACTGATCCAAGATTACGGACAGGTTCAGGCATTCCCTGACCTTTGTTTGGGTTTGAAATCCAAGCTCCTGTTTTCAGATCTGTAACTTTTGCTCACCTTTGTGCTTTTTGGCTTTAGCCGTAGCCAGAAGCAGGAAATACTGGAAATCCTACATAGAAAAGAGTTTAGCTAAGATTTTCAGCTCAGTTCTCAAGACTCAGAATCCATCACCAGTGAGATTTTAAAGGGCTCCAGACTCCTTTAGGCAGGGTATTTTTGGTGACCTTCCATTGTATTTAGAATTATAAGTAATAAATATTAATCATACAGGATTGTATGTCTACGTTGGCAAGGCAGCATTTCTGAAAAGAATCTAAGTGACAAGACAGACATTGCAGATTTACAATAACTTTGTTCATAAATTTTTTGAAAGATGTAAAGAAAGACATAGTGCAGAGAGGGAAGAAGCCAACAATGTGGATTTAATCATCTACATTTCAGAAATGCAGACCAAATGTCTGTAAAGATGTCCATTTCATCCAAACATTTCTTAGATATTTATTTCAAAGCTCCCTGTTCAGTCAATCCAACACTCCATTCATATTGGAAACAATATTGATTTTTCTTCTATTAGCAGTGGTATGGGAGTGCTAGAGGATCCCATGTATTAGTTAATCTTATTTTCTGTTGCACTGCATTGCCAAGAAGTCATCTTGCTGTGCAGGTAAATCTAAGGAAGAATCTGCTTCAAGACTATTTAAAAGAGAGCTTGTGACAAACATTGTTTTTCCAATAGAAGAATCATGTAATGATATTGCTTTATCAGGGCTAGTGTTGGATATAGAGCTATAGGTTACCAGTTCTTCTCTCCCTGCTCAGCTGAAAAGTCACTGCCAGGGAGGAACAACAGTCTGGATCACAAAGAAACGAGACATCTTTGTTTCCTACAAAACAAATCAGCCGAATTGCACATAGCATTTATTTTGAATACATATTTTTTTAACCCTTTTAACCCTTGGATGCCTTTCATCCTTTCTCATCCCTGCTAAAAGTCAGCTCCAAGTTAGCCATAACCATTTCCTTGGAGGTGTTCAAGAAGCGTGTGGATGTGGCACTTCAGGACATGGTTTAGTGGGCATGGGGGTGTTGGGTTGACGGTTGGTCTTGATGATCTTGGGGATCTCTTCCAACCTCAATGATTCTATGATTCTGACATTTCTTCAGTGCTGAGTAACAGGGAGCTCATGAATGGGCACATGGGGAACCGTGTTTTAGCGTAATCCATCCGCTTATTTTGGGGTGAAGTCCAAAGGCCACTGCTTGCAGCTCTGCTCCCACCACTGTGCCAGCAGTATAGGTGAGAAGCAAAGAGGGCTCCCTTTCTGCATTGACTCAGTTTGGCTGATTATCTGAGTTTAAGGCATTGTAAAAATTTAGGCAGTGGATATCCTACCTTTGTGAAGCCCCAGAAGCACATGGAAACACACTTTTTAAAAAGAATTAGTATTTTAAAGAAAAAAAAAACAACTCTAAATTATGGTGTCTTCCTTCTTTTTTTTTCTTTTAAGCATCAGGAAGTTTGCATTTGTTTATTATTCTGATAGATACATTCATTATTATTGAATTGCTTTTGATATGGAGACATATTTTTCCAGTAAGATTTTGCCTTTCTGCTGAATCTTTCAACTCGTCATTAGTTTCGATGTCTGCAATGACCTAGTAATTCCAGAGGAGGCAGGAAAGCTGTGAGGCTTATACTTGTTGAGAAGTTGAAGGAGGTAATGATTTTTTTGGAGAAAACAGTATTAAAAGTATTTTTTTTAAATGTGTCTTTTCATCTGGGATACTTTAAGCAAGAGTAATAGACTGTTTAGTCTGGACTGTGATTTTCAGCACAGACCTGAGCAAGACACCATGTTTAAGGCGGCTTTGCCTAGGGAGCTCCCCACAATATATGGAGATGTTCCCTCTGAGCTGCAAAATTTCCTGCTTCTTTAGTCAGGACAGATCTGCTGGTTTGTGCTGGCACTGAACTATGACACTAACTCAGTGCTAGGCAGCTAAAAAAGGGGTCCTGTTCCTGTCTCTCCCCTTGTACCTCACTTGCAG